TTTTTTGAGGTTTTCTTTTTTTTTTTTTTTTTTTGAGACAGTTTCACTCTGTTGCCCAGGCTGGAGTGCAATCTCTGCTCACTGCAACCTCTGCCTCCAGGGTTCAAGCGATTCTCCTGTCTCAGCTGCCCGAGTATCTGGGATTACAGGCACCTGCCACCACACCCGGCTAATTTTTTGTATTTTTAGTGGAGACCGGGTTTCATTATGTTGGCCAGACTGGTCACGAACTCCTGACCTCATGATCCGCCCGCCTTGGCCTCCCAAAGTGCTGAGATTACAGTTGTGAGCCACCACGCCCAGCCCATTTTGATTGTTAAATCTGTCTGGAATTTATTCCTGTGTGTGGTGTGAAGTAGAGAACTAATTTATATTTTCCTAAATGAATATCCAATTCAACTGAAACTTTTTTTTTTCCAGATGGAGTTTCACTCTTGTTGCCCAGGCTAGAGTGCAAATGGGCATGATCTCAGCTCGCTGCAACCTCCGCTCCCAGGTTCAAGCAATTCACCTGCCTCAGCCTCCCATGTAGCTGGGATTACAGGTGCATACCACCACACCTGGCTAATTTTTGTATTTTTAGTAGTGACGGGGTTTCACCATGTTGGTCAGGCTGGTCTCAAATTCCTGACCTCAGGTGATCCACCCGCCCCAACCTCCCAAAGTGCTGGAATTACAGGCATGAGCCACCACACCCAGCCTCAAACTCTTTTTTGAGTGGCCTTTTCCTCAACAATTTGAAATGCTACCTTTATTGTATATTAAATTTTTGGCTAGTCTCACAATTTTTCCTATTTCCAGTGGAAAGTCTACTGGGATTGATTGGTATTGCATTACATTTTACATAGAAAAAGACTGACACCCTCAAATTGTTACTCCTTTCCCAATAAGAGAGTCATGGAACTAACCTAAGTGCTCATCAGCAGGTTCTGGATAAAGAAAATGTGATACACATACATTGTAGAATATTGCACGGCCATAAAAAAGGACGAAATCATGTCTTTGCAGCAGCATGGATGGAGCTGGAGTCCATTATCCTAAGTGAAATCACTTAGAAACAGAAAATCAAATAATGCATGCTCTCACTTATAAGTGGGAGCCAAACTTGGGTACATATGGACACCGGAGACACCAAAAGAGGGGAAGGAACAACAGGTACAGCATTCACTGTTCGGGTGGTGGGCGCACCAGAAGCCTAACCCTCGCCATTACCTAATACATTCATGTAACAAAACTGCACATATACTCTCTAAATTTATAAAGATAAAAAAATCAATTGGGCCAGGTGAGGTGGCTTATGCCTGTAATCCCAGCACTTTGGGAGACCAAGGCAGGCAGATATCAAGGTCAGGAGTTCGAGACCAGCCTGACCAACATGGCAAAACCCCGTCTCTACTAAAAATACAAAAAGTAGCCAGGCATGGTGGCAAGTACCTGTAATCCCAGCTACTTGGGAGGCTGAGGCAGGAGAATCGCTTGAACCCGGGAGGCAGAGGTTGCAGTGAGTCAAGATCACACACCACTGCACTCCAGCCTGGCAACAGAGTGAGACTCTATCAAGAAAAAAAAAAAAGACTAAAAAAGAATTAACTCTTTTTAGGAACATTGTGTTTCTCATTTGTTCTTTTTTTTATGTCAAAGACTTCAATCAAAAATGCTCATTTTTTATGCCTACCAAGAACCATATGGAGACCTGAAAATGTGAGAGAGCAGCACACCTCTCGACCAAAGCACCTAGGTTCTGCCCATCCTGGTGTCTAGGAGAATGCTTTATTCATATTACCTCAATTAAGTCCGCTGAATTTAATATTTCATTCATATTGTCTTTAAAGATAGATGAAATAAGGAGAACTGAAGCAGAAAGTGAGAAATCGTGATGACCATTAAGGTTGTCTTCACTGTATTTCTCTTGAAAATCTAAGTCAGCACTGGTGGAAATGACAATCTCGCACATTGTAATATGCAGCCACATCCTTGCACAGAAACAGCCAAGCATGCAAGACTCTTTCTTCTCTATGAATCATGCATAACAGATTAGTGTATTTTAAAATTCTCATACATAACTTGAATGTCTTATCGTTAGTATTCACATATTTTTTAAATTAGAATTTTATAAGGAGTAACATTAAGTGCTTTCCAGAGGTAAAATTTTATATACATTTTTAATATAATTCAGTCATGGATTAAATCTAAAACATTTACAGTTAACGATGTAAGGAGGCACTGAAGGACTTAACAGAAGCCACATTCTAACAGGATAGCACAGCCAGACCTTATGAGTACGAGTTCCCATTATCATGCTCAACTTAAGGTTAAATTAAGTGTAGTTTCAAAGGCTTTCCTCTACTCGACATATTGCCATCAGGTGGGTGGGGGGCGAGCAGGAATCTGCCAGGAATCTAGTAATTATAGGTTCTGAAACTCACTCAGGAAGATCAACAAATGTGTATTGTGCACCAACTGCCAGGCCCGGCATCATCCACTCTGACCCTGTGAGTAAGGTATTATCGTCCCTTTGGTTAAGCCCATTACCTATATCCTTAGCCCCTTCTGTTAGGAGGTCATGTTCATTTGCAGCTGAGAGGTGGTGGAACGTAGCCACAGATGATGTGATGTGCCTTGCCCCGATGCCGACGTGCACTCACCCCAGCAAGGGTCTCCTGTCCTCCTGCCGTTTCCCCTCAAGTCCATCACTAACCATGGCACTATCCATTGCCATGCCCTCAAAAAAATTCTCAAACATCTACTTACTATTTTCCACTGGAAAAGATTTTGTGGAATCAGCATCTGGAAGCTAATATGTAATTATAAAGGTGGAACTGGCCATGCTGGATTGTTTTTTTTTAGACTGAGTCTAACTCTGTCGCCCATGCTAAAGAACAGTGGTGTGATCTCGGCTCACTGCAACCTCTGCCTCCTAGGTTCAAGCGATTTTTCTGCCTCAGCCTCCAGTAGCTTGGGATTTCAAGCACATGCCACCCCTGGCTAATTTTTTTGTTGTTCTGGTTGTATTTTTAGTAGAGACAGGGTTTCACCATGTTGGCCAGGCTGGTTTTGAACTCCTGACCGTAAGTGATCTGCCTGCCTCAGCCTCCCAAATTGCTAGGATTACAGGCATGAGCCACTGTGCCCTGCTTTTTTTAAAATTTTAATAGCAGTTTCTTTTAAAATTGAATTTGTATCCAATTTTGAGAAAATGTGCAATACTCCAAAGGTAAATGAGCTTTTACTCCTAAATATTTGTTCTTATGCATTTTGTTCCCTTTCAGTTTCATATTTGTAAGGATTATTTAAATAATATTCATTCTTATTTGCTTCCCAAAACGCTGATGGCTACTGGGACTGCTTGCCTGGTTCCAGGGGCTTTTGTGTACTGTGGGCATGAGCAGTATGATTCCTAATAGAGGAATTATAAAAAACTGTAATGGCCAAATTATGCTTTTCACCACATGATGAAATATTAAGCAAGTATCAAAACATTTTACAGTTAAGGAAAAACCCAAACATATGAAGAAAATTCACCATGTCTAAAATAATTGTTTGTAGCTTCTGGGATTAAACGGTTTTGTTTGTTTGTTTGTTTGTTTTTAAGATGGAGTTTCGCTGCTGTTACCCAGACTGGAGTGCAATGGCACAATCTCGGCTCACCGCAACCACTGCCTCCTGCGTTCAAGCAATTCTCCCGCTTCAGCCTCCCGAGTAGCTGGGACTACAGGGGCGCACCACCATGCTCAGCTAATTTTTGTATTTTACAAAATTGTTGACCAGGATGGTCTCGATCTCTTGACCTTGTGATCCACCCACCTCAGCCTCCCAAAGTGCTGGGATTATAGACGTGAGCCATCGCGCCCAGCCGTTTGTTTTTTGAGGCAGAGTCTTGCTCTGTCACTCAGGCTGGAGTGCAGTGGTAGATCTCAGCTCACTGGGTTCAAGTGATTCTCCCGCCTCAGCCTCCCGAGGTGCTGGGACTACAGGCGCCCACCACCAGCTGATTTTTTTTTTTTTTTAAGTAGAGATGGGGTTTCACCTTGTGAAACTCCTGACCTAGCTCAAGTGATCTGCCCACCTCAGCCCTCAAAATCCTAGGATTACAGGGGTGAGCCACCATGCAGGGACCCTAAATGGTTTCTTACTTTTATATTTTTGGAAGTTTTAAACGATGTAATCTAACTTTCACAATCTTGAAATAAAAGCAATTGTTACCAATTGATGAGCTACTTCCCATCATCTACTTAAGCCTAATTGCTTAGAAATTCTCAATTCTAATTCTCAAAATTACTTGGTGTTTTAACCAAGTATTTCTATTGCAAACTCCTGGAGCAAATGGGGATTGTGATAAGCAGATACATCTTTAGGTCTATCTGTGTGGGTTAGTAGAGATTAGTTTTTAGTTTGCCAATGCTTGTTTTAATGCAAAAAAGTCTAAATGTCTGACAAAATACATATTCTTGAAATAAACTACACAGTGCTTACAAACGCTGTGTAAGTATACTCACTGACATAGGAGAAAGGTCACAGTATGCTCAAGACTACAAAATAGGATGTACAACACCACTTTGTATAATCATATAAGCATAGAATAGGATCTGAGAAAAATGCATCTTTAAATAGCTACTTAAATAGTTGCCTAAGTAAGTGAATTACGGGTGTTTTTAGCTTGTCTGCAGTTCCTAAGTTTTTTTTAATGAGTATTAATTGCTCCGCTATGATCACACATATATCTCTCACCCCTGCATCTGTCCATCCCCCTAACTTCATCCCTACCCCCACAAGACTTTTACACACAATTCCCAAACTGCTACAACAGAATAGAACCTCCCGCTGGGGCCTCCGTGATTGCCATGAATCCAAGCTAAGCACCAAGATCTGTGCCTTAAATCCTGATTAACCCACATTTGACGCACAACACTCAATCCCTGAGAAGGCAAGAGAATGCAGGGTTCTTGTTCACTAGTTTTTCTAATCAACCAATTGCTATCTGACAAGAAGTTCTCTTCCTTATACTTTTAAGAAATTTTTTATTTAAAAAAAAATTTGTGCAGGGGCGATGCTAATCTTCTCTGTATCGTTCCAATTTTAGTATACTTGCTGCCGAAGTGAGCATTCCTTATACTTTTTATTTATTTATTTTTTGAGACGGAGTTTCACTCTTGTTACCCAGGCTGGAGTGCGGTGGCATGATCTCGGCTCACTGCAGCCTCCGCCTTCGGAGTTCAAGCGATTCTCTTGCCTCAGCTTCCCAAGTAGCTGGGATTACAGGCACGCGCCACCATGCCCAGCTAATTTTTGTATTTTTAGTAGAGACGGGGTTTCACCATGTTGACCAGGATGGTCTCCATCTCTTGACCTCGTGATCCACCCGCCTCGGCCTCCCAAAGTGCTGGGATTATAGGCGTGAGCCACCACACCTGGCCCCTTATACTTTTAAATGTCTGATATTGGTATACCCAGTCAACCATTCTCATCACTCAAAAGTACCGTCAAGTGTTTGAAGGGCAAGAGATTAACTTTCTGTACTGATTCCACAAAACATGCCTCAAAGTGGCTTTTGAGACAAGATCTTCGTCCCCTAGGCTAGAGTGCAGTGACACAATCTTAGCTCACTGCAGCCTCGAAATCTTGGGCTTGTGATCCTCCTGCCTCAGTCTCCTGAGTAGCTGGGACCACAGACATGCATCACAATGCTAATTTTAAAAACTTTCTGTAAAGATGGGGTCTTGCTGCTGCCCAGGCTGATTCTGAACTCAAGCAATCCTCCTACCTTGGCCTCCCAAAGCTCTGGTGTGACTGCCACATCCAGTCTCCATGGTGGCTTTAAAAAACTTTTGACAGTTGAAGTCGGTTTATCACAAAAATATGTGTTCCTTCCTGTGGGTAGAATAAAAATAATAAGGAAAATGGGCAGCCTTGGGGCTAGCAAACACCCAAGTAACTGGTCAGATAAAACAAGGCAAGCCTTGCCCCCAAAAAACTGCAGAAAAGCCTAACAGAGGCCGGGCGTGGTGGCTCAAGCCTGTAATCCAAGCACTCTGAAGGCCAAGGCGGGTGGATCACCTGATGTCGGGAGTTCAAGACCAGCCTGACCAACATGGTGAAACCGTCTTTAAAAAAAAAAAAAAAAAAAGTCTAACAGAGTAGTTCTAGGTAGGAACTTAAAGTACTTCTGTTATGCTTTTCTACGGTTTTTTTTGTATCAATCTATAAACCAAAACCCTTTTCCTGTTTTATTTTGTAAGAAAAACTAGTGATTTCTTTAAATATGTCATTACGACTTACATAGAATGATTGAGAAAACCCATGATTTGAAAACATCTATCACCACTCTCAGTGGTGGGAAAGCTGGGGAGTTTAATTAACTAACCCATTACTAATTACTAGCTCTTCGTATAGGTTCTATGGTTAAAATTCTAATAAAAAACTTACCTATTCTGCTATACTTGGGAATTAAAGGCAGATCTGTTCATCACTGTTTCAGGCCTCCATAGTGTAATGACCACAGCGCTCAGCGGGCCCTAGTCCCTTCCCATCTCCCAGGAGTTTTCAGAATTTCTTTGCTGTCAGGTTATCCCAAGTCACTGTCCTTTGCATTTGCTTTTAGTACAACCTCACTATTCCCTATCAACTCTGAACAGGCAGTCCGTGCAGAGATCTATGACCCCATAGGGCTTGTTTTTAAAGGATTCTTGCCTACTGATCAGCCCACAGGCAAAACACACCAAATGTACAGCGGTTTGAATTGTTCCAAGGACCCCTCTTTAGTGATAACCTCAGCAAGGTCCACCTCTGGCCAGCTTCACTTTTGCCAAATCAACAGTTGCCCTACAACACCACCTCTAAAGACTACTTAGAGGACAAAATGAGAATACCATGTATGGGAAAGCAAATCAGGAAAATACATACCACATTAGATTTAGTCATAGCTTACGCTGTATTTTTTTTTTTTTTGAGACTGAGTTTCATCCTTGTCACCCAGGCTGGAGTACAATGGAGTGAACTCAGCTTGCTGCAACCACTACCTCCTAGGTTCAAGTAATTCTCCTGCCTCAGCCTCCTGAGCAGCTGGGATTAGAGACGCCAGCCACCAAGCCCAGCTTATTTTTATGTTCTTAGCAGAGACCGGGTTTGACCATGTTGGCCAGGCTAGTCTCCAATTCCCGACCTCAGGTGATCTACCTGCTTTGGCCTCCCAAAGTGCTGGGATTATAGGTGTGAGCCACTATGCCTGGCCTACTCTGTACTTTAAACATACGAAGAGCTAGTAATTATGTATTTGCTTTAATTCAAGACACTGGATTGTTCTTCCATTAAACCAATATAGTCAAGCACTTCAAAGGACATAGTAGTTATCTCAAGCACTCCTGTCCCAGGCATCAGACAATGAACCACATAATGGTCCCATATTATGTAACACTGTATTTACTATACTCATCTAAGTTTACATAGACAAATACTTACCATTGTATTACAACTCCCTGTAGTATTCACACAATAACACACTGTGTAAATCTGTTGCCTAGGAGCAATAGGTTCAACCATACAGCCTATGTATCTAATAGGCTGTGCCACTGAGGTTTCTGTAAGACACACTATGTTGTTCACACAAGAAAACTGCCTAACGATGTTTTAGACAGTACCCAGTGACTCATGACTGCATCAAACAAAAACTAAATATTTCACTCCTCACAATAAAATAAATTTGGAAGACCAAATGTGGAACTTTTTGAGACAGGGTCTCACTCTGTTAGCAGTGGTGTCATCTGGGAATGCTACAACCTCCACCTCCCAGGTTCAAGTGATACTCCTGGCTCAGCCTCCCGAGGAGCTGGGACTGCAGGTGCAAGCCACCATGCCCGGCGAATTCTTATATTTTTAGTAGAGAAGGGGTTTCACCATGTTGGCCAGGCTCAAATGTGAAAATTCTGTAAATAAAATTTAAACCAGAACTTAATCCACATGCTTCAAAATATTATTTCATAATTGACATTTTATTGGTTGAGGATCAGTACAGACATTTCAATTTGTACACAATTCTTAACATACGTAACAAAAATCTAAAAAGCCATGTATTGTAATTTTTTTAGTTATTCCAGTGACTTTCCAGCTTAAAATTTAGATGCAAATTTTCCTTAAGAGGCTATCAAGTACCTGTATCTTCACGTTGATAAGCTGTTACATACATCCCAACAATTCACAACTGAATACCATGTACACTACATATTCAAATTTTTAATCGTTCACAGCACAGTAACACAGTTATTAGGAAAACAGGACTACCACACCAAAGATGTTACAGAGTACACACAATTCTGACGGAGAGCCATGATCAGAGTGGTTTTCTTTAGGAAACAATTCTACTAAAAAACAACACGGGAATAGAAGTAATTTAAAATGTTCAAGACATTAAATGCAGGACTGACTCCATATTGCCATTTAATATGCTTTGTATTATAGGATATAAAAACTAACTCCCCATCTATGGAATGTTAAGCTGACACCCGAGACAGTCAAAGCCTCCCATAATTCAATATCCCACACTATTTTCTGGCTGTACCGAAAAATAAACAACCAGAAAATGATTTCACCTCTTAAAAAAAAGCATTTACACTTAAAAAATGGGATGAGGTGGGATTCCCTCCTTCTTAAAAATGTTTCTAGAGCTACTAAAAAACTTGCATTTACAAAATAGTTGATAAAAATATTCCTCTGGATTGTACAAGAAGGGAGACAGGGACCACTGATAAGACATGGTATATGGTATTAATCGGACTTGGCTTCTTTCTCTCCTGCTTCATCAGAGGCTGGACTCTGCAAAACAGACGAAATTGGGATCTTTAGCAAGATGTTGTCATTTTATTTACATGCAACTATCAGATCTTTTAAAAAGTCAATCATCTTTATTTGTAAAGTCACTTACTCTTGTTTAAAAAAACTTTTGTAACCAGCCTCCCAACCCCAAATCAGTACTTCTAGCCCTTCCAAGGTAATGTGCACATCAGAGAAGCAAAACATGTGAGTTGTGCCACGTGTACATTCCAGGCTGAGGTCGCTCTGTCTTGTTTTAGGTCTAATGCCCTAACCAACTGTCTTTTTTCTGGTCTACTTAGTGCTACTATATCTTTGTGCTTTTTACTGATGATTTTGCTGTGTTTTTTTTTTTTTTTGGAGTTTCGCTGTTATTACCCAGGCTGGAGTGCAATGGCACAATCTTGGCTCACTGCAACCTCCGCCTTCTGGGTTCAAGCAATTCTCGTGCCTCAGCCTCCCCAGTAGCTGGGACTACAGGTGCGCACCACCATGCCCAGCTAATTTTTGTATTTTTAGTAGAGACGGGGTTTCACCTTGTTGACCAGGATGGTCTCGATCTCTTGACCTCGTGATCCACCCACCTCGGCCTCCCAAAGTGCTGGGATTATAGGTGTGAGCCACCGCGCCCAGCCTGATTTTGCTGTTTAAAATGGCCCCCAGGCATCTTGTCCAAGTGCTATTTAATGTTGCTAAATCCAAGGCCGTGATGTCCCACACAAACATGTATTGGAGAGCTTTATTCAGGCACCAATTACAGTGCGCTATTGGTAGCGAGTTCAATGTGAATTTAACAAACATTAAATAAGGCATGTGTAACAGAAACACACATGTAACAAGGCCACGTATTTATCAATTGATGAAAATGTTGTGATCAGAGGTTTGTAAGAACCCAATCCTGTATTTCCCCTATGTCAAACGGTTTCATACTTGTGGCAGCCTTATGTTAATAGAACACAGCTATAAACAAGGGAGAACCAACTGTAATTTGATAACGTGTATTAGAAGGTTAAGTTCTTCCTTAAAATCAGAAGTAGATCAGCAATGTGATCTTATGATCACACAATATTTGATGTATGGTTAGAATTAGGAAGTACAGGCCGAGTGAGGTGGCTCACACCTGTAATTCGAGCACTTTGGGAGGCTGAGGCGGGCAGATCACCCAAAGTCAGGAGTTTGAAACCAGCCTCGCTAACATGGTGAAATCCCATTTCTACTAAATATACAAAAAATCAGCCAGGCGTCGTGGTGGGTGCCTGTAATCCCAGCTACCTGGAAGCCTGAGGCAGGAGAATCACTTGAAGCCAGCAGGTGGAGATTGTAGGGAGCCAAGATTGCACCACTGCACTCTAGCTTGGGCAGAAAGAGTGAAACTCCATCTCAAAAAACTACGAAGTACAAGTTAAAAAACAAACTGGGATTGTAAATTTCTAAATTTAGGAGTAAGCAGTTTATTACTTAAGAATTTGATGTATAGGCCAAGCGTGGTGGCTCAAGCCTGTAATCCCAGCACTTTGGGAGGCCGAGGCGGGTGGATCATGAGGTTAAGAGATTGAGACCATCCTGGTCAACATGGTGAAACCTCGTCTCTACTACAAATACAAAAAATTATCTGGGCATGGTGGCGCGTGCCTGTAATCCCAGCTACTCGGGAGGCTGAGGCAGGAGAATTGCCTGAACCCAGGAGGCAGAGGTTGCAGTGAGCCGAGATCGCACCATTGCACTCCAGCCTGGGTAACAAGAGCGAAACTCCATCTCAAAAAAAAAAAAAGAATTTGATGTATAAACATCAAAATTTAAAAATTACTACCCTAAAGTTATATTTTCTAACTCAGCTAACAAGCATAAAAGGAAGGCCTGGCTTCACTGAACCTTGCTTCGGTTACTTTTGAAGAAACAGCTTCCCAGCTAGAGGAGTGCAGTAGTGTTCACAAAAAAATCAATCAAAACCTGTTACAGATTTCTTTGTGCTGTCTGTACTCCCACTGCTTCATTTAATTAATAATAAGAAAAAAATATCTTTTCTTCATAGCTTAAAAGAATAAAGATTCAGTCTGGGTAACAAACATTGTCTCTGAAAACAAAGATTAATGACACTCGTCTTCTATGTGCTTGATCCAGATTATTACTTAGAGCTTCATTCACTTTGGGATACCGTACAAAACTTTGTTCAGTATTAAAATGAATAAAGACTTACCTGCTACAGAAAACATACCATTTAGTATCTCCTGTTCAGAGTCAAGAGCAATCAAACACACGCACACACACACACACACTTCTGACCTCCTCAATTTTCGTTTCCCCGTTTTCTGCAGGTAAATCTTCTTTAGTTTCTTTAGCCACTTCAGCCTGTTTTCCCTTTGCTCCCCTTTTCCCTTTTGTTTGCACTTTTTTGTCTGAAGATTTATCCTATGATAGAATAAGAATATACTTTAAGTACAAACTTACCCCTTACATTTTGTTTTACTTTTTTTTCCTCATGTCAGACAAGTAATGTGCACAATGGTGCTGACTTCCTAGCAAAGTTTGAGAGACATCTCACATGAGAGTGAAAACCCAATATTCAAGCTTATGAAAGATCTCATTTTGTATTACTGTATCTGCAATAGCTGTCATATTAATGTCTATCACACATCAGTAGATATACCTATTACATTAGACAACTCAGGACCCACCCCAGTAATCAGGAAAAGAAAATATGCTAAGGAGATTTTCATAGTACTTGCATGTCAAGCCTCATTAGATGTTCCACAAACCCTAAAGCCTGAGCCATACTTCACCACTGCTGCCATTATCCAAACTATTCCCTACAGTTCCACATGACAGGACAAATGAGGCAGAATATTGGAAGAGTCTCGTTGACGGTATCCCCACCCACCCCCAAATTTGTTTGAACATAAACAATAATCAACCAGTGTCCTCACAAGACCTTAACCCTCACATTAAGACCATTCACCTGAAGAAAAGCCCCATGCCGCAGTCATTTGACTATCCTGCTACAGTTCATGCCTTGGTATCATGAGAAACTGAAAGTATCAATTTTGAATTTATCATTTTCATTTAGGTGTTTGAAAAATCTGAAAAGCATCGGTATTAATATGACCATACCAACCTGACACATTTAAGTCCAAAATTTGAGCCATGTTAAAGCAACATAAAAATACTTTTGGATACCATCCATCAATGCTGAGAAAAACTTAGCATTTATTCCTTGTAATTAAGTGTGCAGCAGCAGTTAAGTTCAGGCACCAATGGGTGGTATAGAAGACCCATACAGGTACTGACCAATTACTTGAGTTAAAGGGCCATAAAGATATGCAGGTACAACTCACAACTTCAATGCCAAGATGGGCGGAAAAATCACTGCAGGGTATTCTGTACTAAGGGATTCCACACAAGACAGCATAATGACTTTCAATATTTCAACATCGTTTGAATAACAAATTAGAAACAAATATATTTAAGAAAAAACTGCTACTATACACATTGCTATCACAAATTTTCACAACTACTTCTGTATTTAAGAACTACTCTTTTGGGCCGGGCACAGTGGCTCACACCTGTAATCCAAGCACTTTGAGGCCAAGGCGGGCGGATCACCTGAGGTCGGGAGTTCAAGACCAGCCTGACCAACACGGTGAAACCTCATCTCCAAAAAAAAAAAGAACTACTCTTTTGTAATCTGATTTCTGAAGATTTCTCATTAATTTCATAATCACCATTCCAATACCAAAACCACAAAACTGGGAAACAGTTAAAACAGAATACATAATAATAACATGGACTCAAAATAAAACCACTTGTAACCATTAGAAGCTGATAACTTAGATAAAACAAAATCAATCACATTTTCTGAATATGTTTGGACCTTTAAAATATTTAGTTCGAGATAAATGATACAAGTCAGAAACACACACTGTGACAGATACGCTTTGAAAACATGTCTACTGTGTAGTATATCTAATACACCAAGTGCTTACCTTCTGTTTAAATTCTCATCAACTATGAAGTCAAAGGTGTATTACAGAAACTAGATGTAAAAACAAACAAATCCCTTCTGTCCTTTTTCCTTTGGGAAAGCTGACCTCATAGGCTTGTTCCTCAAAAGGCACTGACATGAGTTGAGGACTCACCTGTCGGCCTCTCAATTAAATCTGATGTCCCAAACCCACCGGGGGTAGAACTTGCAACTGTTTTCATTAAAAATTCACTTTACAGCCTTAGCACAAGCTACTTCACGGGAGTAATGGAGAACAAACGAGCACTGCCAGCCAATGAAAGGGAAGCTGAGAAGCAGTGGGGGTGGGGGGGGGTGGAAAAAGTAAATAATAAAAAAAAGACAAAAATTCACTTTACAGTAGATCTTAAGATGGACAAAGATAAATAAGGAAAAGACAATGTAAAGAGGAAAACAGGCAGATGTTTTAGCCAATTAGTTAAAAACAAAACACAGAATCAAAAAAGATAGATGATAATATACCGCTCACACAGACATTTTTAACAAAGCCAGCTAATTTTTTAGGTCTTCATCAAGTTTCCGTGCTGTTCTAACTGTATACAGAGAATTATCGCATCGTCTTCTGGTATGACAAATTGGAAAGTTGAAAAATACCTTCCTTGAAGCTTTATTTTTAAGATCACAAAAACAGAACTTTCTGTTAAAGAAAACATAGTTAAGATTTTTACTGGCCAGGCGCAGTGGCTCACGCCTATAATCCCAGCACTTTGGGAGGCCAAGGCGGGTGGATCACGAGGTCAAGAGATCGAGACCATCCTGGTCAACATGGTGAAACCCCCGTCTCTACTAAAAATACAAAAATTAGCTGGGCATGGTGGCACGTGCCTGTAGTCCCAGCTACTCGGGAAGCTGAGGCAGGAGAATCGCTTGAACCCAGGAGGCGGAGGTTGCAGTGAGCCGAGATCGTGCCATTGCACTCCAGCCTGGGTAACAAGAACAAAACTCCGTCTCAAAAAAAAAAAAAATAAAGATTTTTACTGAGCTCTGTACAAATCGTAAAAAAGAAAAAAATCTTTGTTTTATACCTTTATTTAACAAGGACAAATTTAATAATTATCCAAGAACTCTTTAATGTCAAGGAAATGAATGAATCTCGCCTCTTCTGATGATTGTGCAGTGCTTACCTTCTACCTACACTTTTAGGAAAGAGGTTAGGGCATTAAAATTTTTTTTTCGAGACTTTAGCAAACTCTCCTAAGTTTTGAGTAGAAAACACCACGTGAAGAACATGTAGAGCGTTACAGATGGTAGTTTCAATGCTATCTCTGAACACAAAGTTTATTCGTTTTACACGTTCTGCTTTTCTACTCTGAAAGTTATCAAACACACGTATACCCAAAACTAACTTCATTCTATAGACCTGCAATACGAATCATGCAATCATGAATTTATTAGGTTTTGTTTAACTGCGGGTAAAGCAATTCTAGAGCGGTGGCGGTTACCTTCTTAAAGAACACAACTTTTGATCTCTCTTCCCCTACCCCGTAAAAAAGTCAACATCCCCCCATGTTGGCTTGGAAACTATATATAAAAATTTATATGTTCCCTTTTTCCTGACCTCAGTTCTAACTTGGCTCTTTTATTGTCAAAAGAGGAAGTACGAGCACACAATTAAAGGCCAAGCACCAGTCACAATGTACGCAACGCTAAGAATAAATTTTCTTTGTAGACTTTAGTTAGTATTTAATTTTTTTTTTTTTTTTTTTTTTTTTTGAGACGGAGTTTTGCTCTTGTTACCCAGGCTGGAGTGCAATGGCGCAATTTCGGCTGACCGCAACCTCTGCCTCCTGGGTTCAGGCAATTCTCCTGTCTCAGCCTCCTGAGTAGCTGGGATTACAGGCACGCGCCACCATGCCCAGCTAATTTTTTGTATTTTTAGTAGAGACGGGGTTTCACCATGTTGACCAGGATGGTCTCGATCTCTTGACCTCGTGATCCACCCGCCTCGGCCTCCCAAAGTGCTGGGATTATAGGCAAGAGCCACCACGCCCGGCCCTTTAATATTTTTTGTCATCCCAAGTCTCCTAAAATCTGCAGCAGCATTAGTGTGATTCGGCCCCATAAACCAGGATGAATATATGCATTACATTTTGCCCCGATCAGAAAAAAAGTATTTACCGTAGTTATTAAAATATAAAGAAATCTCAAATAACTCATCAGAACGAAAAGTCCCACATTAACGAGCAGCGTAGCCTAAGACCCTGCTGCATCCTAATGCGCGTTTCCAAGCCTACCTTCGCTGCTGCCTTTTTCGGCTTCGCTTCCACTTTTGCAGGAGGTTTCTGAAAGGCAAAAGTAGCACTGAGCGTCCTCACCGGGGACGACCCGGGGAAAACAAACTGTTACGGACTGGCTTTACTTACCGCTGACAACCGCGCGGATCTCCTCTTGGGCTTGGAGAGAGAAGAAAGAGTCAGCGAGAAGAGAAGGCAGGCCAGCGGCTCACGGGAAACCCACCCTCACACCCCGCAGAAGGCCCCGCGCTCACCTCTTCCTTGGCGGCCCCTTCGGCGGAACTGACCTGCGAGGAGTAGAAAACGCGGGGATGGACGCGTGCCTCTGTCCCAGGACCCGCGCGCCCGCCCGGCCCCGAGAACAATGCCCGGCCGCGTGACGTCACGGATTCCCGCCGCCCCGTTCGAATCGCCCCCTCGGCTCCCCAGACCGCCGAACGTTCCAGAACACCCGCCCCCGGGGCCGCCGATCGCCTCCCGGGCCCGGCGCTACCGTGAGGGCAGCGGAACCTTGGCCTCGCGGGGCCCGGCGGGGCGGCCAGCGGCGGCCCCAGGGGGCGTGTGCGGGCCGTGGCCGCCGCTCACCTTCCTTTTGGGCATCCTGGCGGCTAGGAGGCGCGTGCCGGGTGCCTGCGGGCCGCGGCGCGCCGAAAGCCTTTGCGAAGCTGCGCTGCCTGTCCGCTGCCACTCCTCCCGCCGCCCGAGCTGCCGAGACCCACAGCGGGGGCGGTGGGAGAACCGGATGGAACCGGATTGGGAGCCCGCCTCCTCCTCCCCCCGCGTCCCCGGCCACGGGCTCCCCTCCCCGCTGGCCGGGCCGCCCCCCGCCCCCGCCCATTGGCTGAGGGGCTCAGCCCGCGCCCAGAATAGGTGAGGCGGGCCATCACTCGGCCCCGCGTCCCGCCCCCTCCTGGGCGCCCCCACCCCTTCCCGCCGTCTCGCGGGGCCCCAGACCCAAGCGAGGGGGGCGGGGCCCCAGTGGCGCTCCGGCCCCACGGTAGTTTGTTTGAAGCCGAGCCGCAAAGTGCGGTCTGCGCGCTAATTGGTGGAAGCATGCCACGTGACTGCGGCTCTCCACCCACAATCCTTCTGGATATCTGGGCGCTCTCAGGCCACTGGCATCTGGCCCCTCCACGCTAGGGTGAAATGTGTTCGAACATTTATAGTTCGTATCCTAGACTGGGAAGCGAGAGGGACAAGGGACACAGGAACTAGCAAATTCCTCTTGCCTCAGTCGGCAAGAAAGGCTATCTAAGGTCCCCAGCTTCGCTGGCCTGCATGAAGCGGGCCCTGGTGCGCAGGCTCCGGAAGGGAGGGCGTGGGAAGGA